GTGATTGTGAGGATGTGTTTGACCTTGATCTTGATTGGGAGGTCGAGGAGCGTTTGGACTTGGGGTTTGGGAGATGTTGGGGAAGTAAGGTACCCCTTCAAGAGTTCAAACGTACACTGCTCTTCTGTCACGACCCATTGCACCATTCCGTCCGGTCTCCTTTCTGACTGGTATCCTCGTCATTACTTTACGAAAAGTAGTGCCTACGTCTATATACTACCCTATACACGATCACCCCCTTCGACAGAACTGCTCCTCGTAGTTCGGGCTGTTATGGCCCTCCTCCATTCGCACTCTCTGAAATGTACACGGTGATGTTTATCCTCTGCGCACTGGGCGTTTTGCTGCCTGTCGCCGCTAAGAGCTTGGTTAGTCTGATGGGTAATCACGACGAACGATATACAAGTACCTCTCACATCGATGTTGGCTCATCAGCTCCGGCAGACGTCGGACAGCATTCTCGCAAGTATGACGTTGATGCTTTGGAGGAAAGGCCCGACTGCCATGTCATCAAGCTTATGAAACGCAACCCGTTAGCTTGTCATCGAGAAATCGGAGGCAAAGAACAGCACGTCTCTACACAATCAGAACTTGAAGTTTCGAAGGGTAAGACGAAGGCATCTCGTTCACAGTGAGAGTGAAGGCCTCGACATTGATTAGACGGCGCGAGAGGTTTGCAAGATCATGGAAAAATTGAATACGTTGGATCTTGTTGTTGAAGTGAACGATTGGCGACGCTGTGTCGGCCTAGAATGTGTGTTGAACATGCAACATGTGCTGATCGATACGACAGTGTCAATGCAGAGCATGGGCGGGCTGGAGATTCAGTGGGCTAGTAAACCGCCCTCGACGTCGGTTCTGGAGGTACAAATGTCGTAGTAGAAACATGGGGATTAAACTATCCAGAAACCCTGGTTTCCCCTGAACAACCCAGGGTTTCCAAAGTGCTTGCGTAGAAACCTTGTTTCCACAAGAAGCGTGTCGGAGATTTCTTTAGCCGGTCACAACCGGCTCGCATTATGACTGAGTTTCAACACTAGAGTTTGACATTGTTCCAATGTCAACAAAAACCTTGCTTGTATTTCATGCAAAATAAATAATAATAATCACTGTAGCGCCCCTGCGGGCGCTTTGAAGCCCACTATGGCGATTAAAAATGAGAGTAAGTTTGTGATCTTTTATTGGCTGCTTGTCGCCGAACCACTTACGCGGTTCGCTCCTCGCAGCCAATGAAAGTGGATGGGTCTGAAGCTTGTATTTACAAAAAAAGTGTGACCCACTACTTACGTAGCAGGCATCTATCATCTTTTGGTCAGTATTGTTACTAGTAAGTAGTATTGTATAAGTTGAAGAATTTGAGCAGATTTGTTGAAGACAATAGATTGAGTAAGTATCACAGAAATCTCTCAGCAACTGGGGATGGCAAATTTGCGCCGTTAGGTTTGGCGGCAGTCTAGAGCGGTCTCTAACGTTTCGGCTGAAATAAAAGTGATATATGATCTTGGGGGCCAGTACGACGGATTGGCTTGGTTGTGTTTGGCAGCCAGTCTAGAGCGGTCTCTAACGCTTCGGCTGAAATAAAAGCGATATATGACCTTGGGGGACAGTACGACGGCTTACATAATTATGACCGTGGAAATAGACCTTGACAAGCAAGGTAACTGGTTTGAACCTGAGTTGCAATAGATTGCCATCGGATCGAGGCGTTGAAAGGGTCCTAGTTTGGTTATAACTGAGAATTGATGGACCGGATCAGTTACAATGTGATTGTATCGGGAATTGTATCCGCGTAATGATGGATCATTGACTCGGACGTCTTGTTGATAGCGACCTGATTACCTCCCATTTGCTCCCATTCCTCTCTCCCAACCTCACGGCGTGTCTGTGGAGCATTTACGTTGTGAATGTCTCGCTCTCGTCATCTTATCTGGCCAAATGGAAACACAAAAGCAAGCCAAGGCAACAGAAAAGGTTCTATGTGAGTTCTGTGGGCATGGGTTCAGCCCCTACGGAATCAGATCGCACATAAAAGCTTGTCAGAAACGGCGGGAAAACGAAAGGGTAGATCAACAAGATGTTGGGAAGGAGCTGAGGGACAGTAAAGCCAAAGAAGAAGGTGCGTGATTGTTTACAGTCCCTAACTCTATTTTGATATTTGATTCCACAGCGGAATTGCTGGCACTTGATCGGCGCACGCTCGCAAAGGCCATGGCGGCACCAAAACATCTTAGTATGTGTGGTTTAGATGTTTTCTGCCTATAATACGCTAATGAGATATGTCACAAGATCTTTTGAGACGAGAACTTACAAGTTCAGCCATGATTACTCAAAATATATTCAGATTCTTGCCAGTGTTCAATTACTTAAAGATGATCAGGGAGTATTGGCATTTTCAGGGATGAGTGAGATTGCAAGCACTGTGCATTATGTATGTTACCGTCGACCCCATCACAATGTGGCCAGGGTTTTTACATGTGGATTTGTTGTGTAATAAAAACACCAAGAGCAAGGTCAGAGTTCTTCGTGGAATTCCCATCATGCCGCGTCATTTTCAACCTCCCAGTGGCCTTGACACCATTTACAGCGACGAGGGCGAAGAGTTTGCCGGGTTTGATGACATCACGGGAACCACCTCAAATGATGACGACGTTGATGGAGCAACTGCTGCCATTGAGATTCCAGCAGTTGGGGAACATCCGACCTATGAGGACTACGAGGATGTAAGTTATTCATACTTACTTAGACTTTGAGAACCTGGGCACTAACATGAATTTAGGCTTTGAAGGCTGCACAGCTTCAATTGGGGAGCCTTACAAAGCTTGTCAAAGAGCAGGCTGCGACCATCGCCGCGCTCAAGGCCCAGCAACCTAAACGCAGCAGGAAGCAACCCAGTGGACAAAGCGACCTTCCCAAAAGCATCGAGGACCACCGTGAAATGATCAGCCATCTTGGACGTCGATTCGCGCTCATGAATAACCCCTTCTTCCCAATGAAGTTGGAAGGCCACCTCGTGGCATCGACACGGCCAAATGTAGCATCAAGCGATTCCGAACGCTACCGATCTGATGTTGCAATGCATGCATGTCTTTTAGCAGAGGTGTATGAGGTTGTTCCCCCCCACCTCCATGCTGCTATGCAGGAGTATCGCCAGTTTGAACACATTGTGAGTTGTGGTTTTCCTTTTCAGTGTCATTGTAGTTTGCTGATATTCATCAATCAGTTCACGAAAGCAGGCAAGAGCTTTTTACGCACCGTGATGTCCGATCTACGGTCAAAAATTCTCCCTGTTATCTTTGGCTCAATCCCACAAATCGCATCCCGCCTCAAAGCCAACTTTGATCGCTCGGAAATCCAAGAATTCAACGCACTGTTGAAGCCAGAGTCAGACCTTGCACGCAAGAAGTATACAAAGTACGCGCCGATTCTATTCCCCAACCGTCAAACCGATATGACTATGTTGTTCATGTCGCAAGAGCTAGCATTGGTAAGCCATTGTTTAAATCTCGCGAGGGTCTTTGCTCACCATCAACTAAGGTGCTGAAGGGCCTCCTGCAAGGTGCAGCTTCCATCTCCTGGAATAAAACTTACGCCAAACCAAAGACATACGCCAAACTGGGGAAAGTGTTAACCATCACTGAAGGTGGCATTGCGACGATCGTGATTTTGGTAAACATCAATTTCAATTCAAATTCTTGGACATTAATTCAGTTTTCGGTCTTACCATAGGTTCGGGCGGCATTTTCCCCCGACACAGAGTTCGATGCAGCAGGGAAAGGTGCTCGTTCGGGCATCGACTATCAAAAGGACTTCAATTTGTACCGCGAGTTTATTCAGGCAAAGGCAGGCACACCGTACCACAAGGCATTACTCAAATTCTACAACGACATCATCTTTAAGGTGCAAATGGACAATAACACAGTGACTCCAAACAATGACGACAACAGCAGTGGCCTCAAGGAAGCATTCACCAGGCTCGCCCTCACTCCGAGCACCAGCGCCCCAGGCCAAGCCAGCCACTCTGGTGCTCACGCAGAGCGCTGCGCCACCTCGACAGTCAACAGGACAGGTTCCTCACATGAGCCTCCAAATCAACCCATGACGTCTGGACCCTCACAACCTGTCGTTCAAGAGGTCGCACGACCCGCTAATGCTAGGAAGGGGAAGAAGAAGGCACAGGCACCTCAGGCTGCCACGGAATTGGCAACGGTGGCAGCTGTAACGGAGATGGCGGCAGCAGTGCCTGCAGCAACTCGCAGGAGCCGTCGTGTTTGAGGTGCACTCATTCTTTATTATTGTTGGTATGTAGTTCGTACCTACTTTTTCGTGCGTAACGTGTTTCATCAGTATCTCGTTGGTATTTCATCTTTGCAGTGGTGTGATTCTATGCATCAAGATCTACAGTACAAGTCTAAGAAAAAGTGACGAGTACCAACAGTGAAGATATAAGGTGGTGACAATGTCGCCTGAGATGATAAAGAATAAAAGTACAATAATGAGAAACTTGTCAAGGAACTCACCAAGAAATACAATGCTTTCCTTGCCTCTGAGACCCTCATCAAGCAAATTCCTCCGTCTACTTGGTCCCGGTCTCTCAAAGGGTGCTTTTCTTTTCTCCATTTGTTTTTGGAGGGGGCGGTATGGGTGTGTTGAATAAATGGCTCATACCAATCAATATATCGCGTATCAGGAGTTTGAAATGAATGAATCGTCGTCGAGACACATCCAAGAGTGAGGCCGGCAGTTGATACCCAGTACGTTCCGAGCGATACAACCTGGATCATGAGTGGCGTCATAACACAAAGAACGCGACTACGGAGAAGAGAAACACGTACGGGTGCATTGTGTGGCCTGCTAGGCTGCTCCGAGCAACATTTAGACGTGCGGCATCTGAATGCTTAGTCCCATGTCCTACCATCATCTCATCGAGGTTATGCCTCTCCTCAACAGCTTGAGTGAACGCCTGCCCAGAATCGATTCCGTGGGGAGTGCCGAATCCTCTTCGTATTTCGGTACTTAGATTTCGATGGGGGGGATTAGTGCTCAAATCAAAGTCATCCCCAAGGTGATGAAGGTGCGTGTACGAGCCAGTTGACCAGAGTGATCTGTTGGTTTCCCATGAGTATGCGACGTCCTCACCTGTTGCAGATCGCGCTCGACTTCGGTCCGATCCAGGGGGAGAAGGCGGATGTGGGGGTCAAAGGACCGGGATTGAGCGAGGGAGGGCCTGACAATGAGGTGGAGCCTCTCAGCGAGGATGGGGACAGGGAAGAAGGAGCGAATCGTGGTGAGCGCCTGTGGTGATGCATTGGGACTGGTGGGAACCAGCGGCCACTCTGTCAAGTTGAACCAAGGGGATTGTCTATATATCGAGCAATAACCTAGTGGTTACTATGGACAATGTAGGAAAGGTTTCAAATAACACTAATCAGGTAAGTCATAAGTTCAAATCCTGGACAGCGCAATAATTACTAACTACAAATTTACTAGAAACACTACAATAACAAGAAACACTACAATAACAAGACTAATGAATTACAAAAGTGACTACAATAAGGTACTACAAAAACAAAGGTCAGCATTAATACTTTTAGTGGTCCGTTATCACGTATCGTTATCGTTGTAATCTTATCGCTGAGTTGGAACGTGGTTCCAATATTGGTTACAACTCGCATCGTAATCACAATTGTAACCAAAAACTCTTTGGTCACACTAACTTGTGACGGCAATCGAAATTGTGACGCGCACAACAAATCATGACGAATTGTGACCGAAATTAGAAAACTCCGACATGGAGCTCAGAATATTTGAAGTCCACCACATGCACATGCATAAGTTCAAGTTGGCAGCGGGGGTTGATATGCGTTGCACGGGGATGACCGTGAAAGTGCAAAACACGCAAACAAGGATCAAGCACGTCGGGAAAACCCTAAACACCTAAACACTCACACACACACACACACACACACTATCACAATCTCAGTGCACGAGTTCGAGGGCCTTTGGTATTAAGAAATACCACTTTTGTCTTCTTAGGTTTAAGTCTCAAGAGATTTCATCTCAAAACGGGTTTTTATTATAAGGTGTGGTTTAGAATAGTTCAATAGAACAAAATATGTCTTTCTGGGAACTTGGTCTCTTAAATGCAAAGTTCTTTGATCACAGTTTCTTTTATTAACACAAAACACGACTTCAATTGACTTTTATGACTCCTGTGAGTTTCTATTATGTCACTACACTCCAAAACCAAGGGTACGAGTACACTGTCTCGTCTAAATGATACTGTGTTTTTAAAACCTCTTATTCAAAAGTCTCCAAGTAAGTTGACTCCCAAGCACGCTGGCTTCGTTCACACTGTACTTTTCTGACCACGAAGAAATCTCCTTTAATTGATTACAACTGTCCACCTCCTAAATTCCTACTTGGAGTGCAACTAGCTGGTCAACGGGGGGGCGATTGCTTGCCTTTTGACCTGCCAGTGCGCTCCTTATATACTCCAGGAACCCCTATCTACGTTTTACATGTGTTTTAATGCGGGATACTTCGGTCCGAATTACAAATATGAAATTTAATGAACGTGTGGTATATTTTGTAGTCTATCTCTGTGAACACTACAGATTTTGTAGTGTCGCGTCTTTCATTTTCAAACACATCAGTGTTTGATGCGTACATGGAGTTAGCCGACGTAGCTATTCTTAGCTTGGCATGATCTCGCGTGTTTCTTTCTATGGCCCGGTTTACCGGTTTAACAGATGACATCACAAAATGATTAATGTTTCCTGATGCGTTGATGCGCATGCGTACGCGTTACCAATAGTCTTCGGCCTTCCGTCGCTTCCGAGTTTTAATTAAAATGCCTTGTCTTGGCTCGTCTTTTCATTACGGAGGTCAGGAGACACTCCGAAGGTGTTTTCAAATGTCTTTCTTAATTGTCAGGGGGTTCTTATTATATTTCATATAATAGAATGTGTCTTTTTCTCATGTTTGTACTTGTGACATTCAGACACATCAGTCTTTGATGCGTACACGGGAACTGCCGTACATGACTTTCTGAATGGCTGTGAGCCACGCTAAGTCTTCGTACATTTACTACCTAGATGTAGTTTAGTTTCAATGTTTCAGACATGCCGTTTAAGCGTCTATGTCGTCTTTTCTGTATTTCTTGTATAAGCATGAGTTTTCACAATAAATCCATTATGTGTTTCTAAACCCTTTGGTAGTAATGCAATTCTTCTCCCTGTGTTGGGTGTTTACTCTAGAACCTCTTCGTGCTCTATTTCATGGTAGGTGAATCTTAGATAGGATCCAAGTATAATGTCACGACGCGTACTGCTGCCAGTTCCAAAGCCTTGTCCTATTCAGATTCCACGCATTTGCATTTTTAGTCAACTGTGCCGGGTATGCGCATTGACTCTTTGTATCATTGCAATTGTATGTAGTGTATTTATTAGAGATGACCTTTATCGGTAAAATCGTTAAAATTGAATTTTATATGGGTGAAATGGTTTCATCCGTATCATCTCCCCCACTATAATACTGACCGTCCTCGGTCATTGCAAGATTCCCTTCTGAGGACGTCTTTCTCTGGACTTTGTCTTGTGGTTCACACATTTTTTATATTGTAGCGACGGATCACCAAGATTTTCCAGGAACGACTGACATACCACTGACATTTTCTGAAGTTGTCAATGTTCGCCACACCGACGTTTTTCCCGTTATAGCATGCATCTCACACACGTCAAGTCAAAAGCTTCCGAAATTCTATTTTTAGATGCAAGCGCCCAATAAGCTTTCTTAAGTTCTGCGATTCTCAAAGATTTGCAGGAACCGCAACAAATCGGACACAGAGTTCCTCTGGAACACAGCGACCTTTTTGTTTTTCTCGTGCTATAAAAGAGGGCCCTTTTTCGGTCATCTTTTCTTTCTCAAAGTTCCCATTCTTCCTTTTGCATCCCTCTCACTTCATCATGGCAAGCTGGCAAATCCTTTTCGATGGCTCTGTTTTCCTCTGTGCTGTCTTTTACTCGGCCCGCTTGTTGTTCGACGAGGAGGGTCTCGCTAACTGTGATGGTGAAGACATCGCCAATCTGTTGGCCATTGTTCACCCACTCATGGTACGCCGTCTCTTTTCATTCTCTCTTTTTATTTTTGTGCTAATATTCGTTCTAATAGATTCGCTACATCCGTTCCCTCGACGATGGCTCTCAGGAAACTCCTGGCGACCTTTGCGTACGTAAATTGCTTTACAATGCGTGGGCTGTCTTGAGTACCGATCACGCCAATCCGGCATGGGATGAGTGGATGCTCGAGGCACCTATTGAAGACGAATATTATTCTGAGGTAAGTTTTCCTTTTTATCTCTTCTTTTATCTAGGCTAACCTCTCTATTTCTAGGAGGATTGTCTTACTGGGGACTTCATCATTACTCCTTTGAGTAATGATGAACTTCTTCAGGTTCTTCCTGCGATTTGTGATGCGCCCGTTAGGGCAAATCCTTTCATGGCACTGTCTATGCCTATTGTTTGTTGTCACCCATTGCCGATCGCAGAACACAGTCCTTCACCTGTCCATACTCCATCGCCTATTCGCGAGGAATCTGTCCAGCCAATTTCGCCATCCTTCATAAGTTATTATCTTTCATTGTTTTCATTCGATTTCTAACATTTCTTTTTAGAAACGTCGTGTGGGTCTTCTTGACTCACCCGATTTAATTCGGTTTTCGCCCACGCCGCCCCACAGCTTTCCTGCTGCCGGACCTTCTCGTGCTCCAGGGGTGGGTTCCGTTGATGTGCCTATCCCTCTTTTCCTGTCTCCTACGCCACCTCCTGGCATTTTGCCGACATCGACACCACCTCTGGTACCATCAGCCAACACGCCAGTCATCCTCAAGGTTCCTTGTCTCAACATTCCCAAGGTCGAGATGCACACGCGTCGCAAGCGTCCCGCTAAGGCTATTGCCAAAATGAAGAACACTCTCATGCTTGCTCCAAGCGCGAAATCCAAGGCGAGTAAACGCAAGCGGAGCCCCAGTGAAGAAGGAGAGGATGGGCAATCGGACAAGTCGTTCATTGCTAATCCACCTCCTCGTAAACGTGGACGACCCCGTAAGAACTGTACGTTCTCTTTTTATTGTATTTATTCCTTTTTAAAATCTAACTTCGTGTTTTTATTGTAGCGCCGGAGGTCATCAACCCCGACTTGACGCGCGATAAGAAACACCTCTGTAAGACTTTTTCTTTTTCTCAGTTCATTCCTAGTTACTAACTGAAGACTTTTTCTTTTTCTTAGTTCCTCCTCATCAGCGGTTTATCGGAGCGTTCAACGTCCCTACCGACTTAGAGCATCTTTTCAACAAGCCTTTTGTAAGTAATTTTATTATTTCTTCTCTTTTTATTTGCTCAAGTTCTCTTTGTTCAGATGCCTGAGCCTTGTGTTCAATGCTCCATGGGCAAGAACCGAAAGGAGGAGAAATGCCAGTTTCAAGGCTGGGGTTACCCCTGCGTGCCCTGCAAAACTGCGCATTTCACTTGCTGTGAATACAGCCTCAAGCCAGTCCGTCGTGCCGAAGTCCGGAGCATTCTGGGACGTCGCCCTGCTCGCTTGGCTCCTGAACGTAAGTCTTCGAGTTTATATTTTATAGAGTTTTTCTTTCTAACTTCTTCTATTCTGTAGTTATCGTTTCTCATATCCAAGATGCTGTGTTCGATCAACAGCACATCCGCGCGAATCAAGCAATCATCGACTCCCTCATGTATCGTCAGGATACCAACATGCGCCGCACTGCCCAAGCGCTCTTCGATCTCGCCGCTATCGAAGGCAAGGAGAGCTTGGTTGGTACTATTTTTCAAACGCAGGACGACTTCGACCATTATTTCCCTTTCATCATGTCCTTCCTTGGCAACCTCAGCGCCCCTGTCGATGATTCCGAAGATGAAGATGCCACCAAGAACTCTCGCGACAATCTCGCAGAGATGGCCGTTCTGTTCGAGAAGATCTACCCTGGTCATCCTTCTGCCAAAGACTCTGACGATGACAATGAAGACAATGAAGACGAGGCTCCGGCCAACGATGGGTGAGCGGGGCCCTTTTCATATTTTTCTACATATCATTTTGGACTCAGTACGATATTTTACACGCAAACTCTCATTATATCGTATTTCTTTGCACTTCTTGTAGTTTTTATTAGGTAGACTAATAAAAGCTTGTATCTTGTTGTTTTCTACTAGTGTGAAAGAAGACTGAAGTCGCTTAAGCTGACTTAGAGACTTTTTCAACCAATTTCTAAGTTCATTCTTTAATTATAAAATCGCAAAACGTTTATTTCTTGATTTCACAAGGTACATTATATGTTATAATAGATCACTATCCTCCCCCCTACTTTTAAAATCAACTGTCCTCAGTTGTTCCGCCAAGCGTGAAGAGTGCGTCTGAAGCGACAGCAATTCTATTAATAGCACCTGTGATTATCATATGCGATACCTCCTGAAATGATGCTCAACTCCTGAATGAGCGTGTTGTCAAATTGTTCTCCATTCTATAGTCAGGGGTGTAGAACAGTGGAACTCGTTAAAAGACGGGAAAAGTCGTCAAGTATTGTAGCACAATTCACAACACTTTTACCCAGCTTAAACATGGCACCTCCTGCACCTCTCGCTTCTACTCTCGTCATCCGCGACAATATCAACGAAGCATTTAAGACCTATGCCAGCTTGAAGCCGACGTTCCAGCCTTTTGTTCTGCTCAGCATGCTTTCTAGCATCGCTGGACTCTGCGTACGCTTTTTCATGATATATACGTGAATGTCATTTTAATTCTTATGTCTTGCTTCTTGTTAGGGGACTCTTGTCACCAGTGGCGATCCCGCCATTTTCACTGATCACAACTTGTCGGAGCCTGTCTTCATTGTTCGCCAAGAGTACAATACTCTCAACGACTTGGACAAGTCCGTTACCGATCCTGTAGGCTTCAACGTCTGCTGGGACTTCTGTAAGAAGGTCCAGATCATCCGAGATGCAGGAAACGCACAGAAGCGTGGTGCTGCTGACGTCGCTGCAGCCCTTGCTGACGTTAAACCCAAGGTCTGTTATTTTTCTTTATTCTCGAGTTTCTAATTTTAAGCGTTCTTTTTGCTCAGCCTCGCCCTCGTAAAGCCGTGAAATCCAAGGCTGTCATTGATGACAAGGACGGCGACGAGATCGAGATTATTGGCAATGTCGACGTCACAATGGGTGCGTCTGACGGTCCCATTACTGCCGCTTCAGGTCCTGACGCCGTGCGTATCTCTTAATTTTCATAGGTCTTATCAAATCATTTACTCGGTCATTCGCGCAGATGAAAATCGACAACCTCTTCAACGGGGAAGTCGAAGCGAAGGTCGCTACCAAGGATAAGGGCAAAAAGCGTGCCGCAACCAAGGTAAGCCACCTGATGCATTCATTTTATTATACATAGCAAATGCTCATAAATTCATTGTCAGTTTCCATTCAAGCGCACAGAGACTGTGCGTATTCCTTACGCCGCTGTCCCTGGCATGGACACTAAACATTGTATTTACTTCAAGGCCGCCGCTATCAAGAATGGTCAGGTTGCATCGTCTAGCAACAAGCGGGCTCGGATTGATCCCTCGTCTTCCACTGACCTTGCCGACCTTCAGCGTCGTCGTGGTACGTCCTTTCAGTCTTTTTATAGAAATAACACGAAGCTAACGTCATATCTTTATCATTCTGTGCATAGGACACTCTTTGTTGCTTGATAGTTCCATCAAGGATTTTATCACCCAGCGTACCAGAGTCGTACTCGACAAACCCATGCTGGGCGAACCCACGCTGGATTATTATTGTACTACCGAGTTAGACTTGCGCAACCGCGTCATTACTGTCCTTCAGCGCATGGACTTAGAGCTTAAGCTTTTTGAAGTCATCAACGCTGAGTACGAGACTGTTGCTGACTTGCTCAAGGATTATGAGGAAATCGAGGCTTTTCTCGCTTAAGTAGGTAATTATACAGACTTAGTAGGGCACCTAGAGTCCTTATGTATTTTCATAGTACATTTAAAATCTAGATGATCTGTTCTGCGCGCATGCACCTTTATTTTCTGAAGAGTCCCATTTGCAGTTTTCATTGTCTGTTTTAACTCAGAAAGGACTTGTCGTGTTTTTAATAAACTAATCGTCATCGTCGTCTGCTTCCATTCCGCCAACGTCATCTTGAACGCTTTGGTCCAGATTTACGCCTTCGAAGTAATAGTCATTCGAATCGACGCGATCTTCAAGTCCTTCTTCGTCTAATTTGTCTAAGCTTTCCTTGTTGAGGTCTATGATTTCGTAAATATCGTTGGGAAGCACTATCTTAGTCCTTGCAAAGTAAGGAATAATTCTAAAGGCCCCAACTTTATTTTGAAACACAGCTCCATCCATTTCCGCCACAATGTACGAACCTCCCTTGGAACGCCTGATTATAATCATTGGGCCTAAATATCGTGGTTTCATTTTTCTATTCAAGGACGACTCAACGCTCGTGTTTCGGACAAGAACCAAGTCCCCTGGTTTGTAGATTCTACCAACGATTTTATTCCTATGTTCAATTTTGTACTTTGCTACTCTTTTCATTTTCTCTAATGTCACTCTTCTTCGCATATCTGCGACGTACCCTGTGTTTGGCCAACGCTCTTGCTCTATAGCCAATAAGCTCTTCTGTAGTTAAAACACGATCTGGTAATTTAACTAACCATGTAGCTTCTTGCACGTCGAGCGGAATCAGCGGATGCACACCAGTAACCATGAAAAACGGCAAGCAACCAAAACACTTTCTAACCGTGATTCTATCTGCCCATAGTACCTGCCAAAAGAACCAATACCATTTAGCAAGGTTCTGTGGTCCACAGCATTTGGCTAACATTTGTACTACATCCCAATGAGGTCTCTCAATTCTTCCGTTTGCCTTAGAATTGTACGTGGAAATCCGTATTCCCTTTATCCCGTACTTTTCTTGAAGCCATCTTACGGCTGCAAGAAATACAGCACCATTATCTGTAATAATTTCGGATAGGCAGCCCCATCTGCAAATTACTTCTTCAAATAGCCAGAGTGCTATAGTCCGAGCTGTTTCTTTCTTCAAAGGTCTTCCTTCCATATAACTGGATAGAGCGCATCTTCCATGTACAATGTATTTACATCCATTAGATGCAGGTGTTATGTGAACAGTATCCACATGAAGGACTTGAAAAATAGAGGGTGTATGAGTAACTGTTGGAGGAATTTCTATAATTCTTTTGGACCTTTCTTGGCAGCGATGACATGTTTTCACATACCACGTAATATCGCGTTCAATGTCTGGCCACCAGAATCTTTCTCCTAACATCATTCTCGTAGCATATGCACCTCTATGTCCAAGACTATCATGAGCTGCACGCATCATGTACATTCTATGTGATTTGTCTACTACCAGTTTGTGTCTGGAATCTATGCTTCTTCTGTATAATCTGTCTTCTTTGTCAACAAAGAACCCTTTCGCAAATCTTGTGAATGAAATATACTGTTTGTCCGTAAGGTTTTCAGGTCGAACTTTTGGATTTTTCAACCAAATTCGTACTAACGGCAGATAATCATCATGAGCTTTTCCTAAGAAAGAGCGTCCTTCCTCAGGATATGGATCCTCTGTTTCCATTTCATCATACCTGGCTCTCAAATCTGGGATTAAAGTGGATACTACGAAGGTTCTTAAGAAGTCCTTCTGTTCTTCACTACAAGTCAGGTGATCATTATCATTTCAATCTTTTGCTTGATGCTTTCCGCAAACTGCTCACTCATTGCTTCTTCTCTATCAATTTCATCATAAAAGTCATCAATTGATAATGCCAATGATAGAACATAACCTCCACGAGTATCTATTTGGTCCTTAAAGTCTTCAAAATCCAATGGCGGTTCACCACCATTAGGATCTGCTAATACTTCTAGAGTGCCCACTGGTTCGTCCATGTTTTCTTCTGAATTTGAAAACACTTCATCTCCAGGTTGCCAATCTCTTCTCGAAAGTCCATCCGCTGCAAAGGTCTTTCCTTTTACATGTTGCAACGTAAAGTGGAACATGAGGATTTTGTCAATCCATCTATTTACAGTAGCATTTGGTCCCATGCCAGGATTAGTTAACATTCCAGCAAGGTACTTTGCATCTGTTTCCACTATTAAACGTCTTACACCAAGTAGCCAATATGAAGCAGCTTCAAGGGCTCTCATGAGTCCAAATAATTCTCTCTTTGGTTGTGACATTCTTGCTTCTCTGTCATTCAAGGTTATAGATCCAAACCTTGCATAGTTTCTTTTTCCTGTATCTTTGTCGTCTTGAAAGATGTAAAAGCCAACAGCCTTCCATGAGGTGTCTACTGCTAGTACAACTGGATTGGGATTATTAATATAATCTAAAGGCACCAATACAGGACATTCTCTGAGACTTTTCTTGAGTTCTGCCATGGATTCTTCTTGAGCAGGCCCCCATTCAAAAGGAGCACCTTTCCTGGCCAAGTCATTGATAGGCTGTGCTTTCTTTGCAAAGTTTTCAATAAACATCCGGCATACCCCAACAGTTCCGAGAAATGCTCTCACATCATGCAGATTTTTACAAGGTCCCCAATTATCAATGACCTTTACTCTGTCTGTCTCTGGTTTCCTTCCTTCATATGTGCATAAATGACCTACTACTGTAATTTCAGCTGCACAAATGGTGGATTTAAAACCCGAGAAAGTTCCTCCAGCATATTTCATCCTGTGAACCACTCTGTTAACATTCTCAAAGTGTTCCATTACAAAACGTCTTATGCCTTCATTTTCTGGTATAGTCTCAAAATTTCCTCCAGGTAACTCATATCTAGTTGCTGGACCTCTGCAAGGCACATCATCAATATATGGTACTGTAACATCTGGTATTTCGTCTTGTAGAATGTACGTGACGTCGTCATGGAATATTGGTACTGAATTAGTCCAACCCATTGGTAACGTTACAAGTCACAAAGCACAGAAAGGTGTTTGAAAAGTAGTCAAATCCCGAGAAGACTCCGCTAAAAGTCTCTCATCGTATCCTACGTATAAATCAAACATGCCTCCACATGCCCGACCCGAGAAATGTGTCGCAAGTGCATCTGTTGCAGGTGGTAAACCCAAGTGTGCTATTGTGACTGCATTCAAAGGTTCTAGACTTTGTACAATTCGCAAGCTTTTTCTGTCTTTCTTTAATACGCAAAACCACCTTGATCTATAAGACGAATTTGAAGGTTCATAAACCCCAGCATCTATCTTTGTCTTAATGATTTTACATACTTCTGAGAATAATCCTGGTGGGATAGGAATATTTTTCAAGACCCAGGGTGTATGTGGTATAACAGGAATATCTACAGGTGGGAAGTATTCTGGTTTGAATCTTCCTCTCTCAGAGTCATCCCATGCAAAAGCCTCATTATTCTCCATCATAAAATGGTGTAATATTTTCGTTCTTCTGCCACAAAAAGTCACCGCTGTGAC